AACAATGCACAAACAGCTACTAAATACTTTAAAGTATTGTCAATTTAAGGGAAGTTTGAACTGAAGTATCAATTCTGGAAAACCAACATCAGCGATGTTCGTGCAGCCGACAAAGTAATGGGACGCGGCGCGCATTTCGGAACGTCGGCGCGAGCTCCGTCGATTACCGCCCCTTGTGCATCGGATGGATTCAGCACCGCTGATTGCACGGGCTGCGCGACATCGGAGGAAAATTGGGCACCGACTCTGCGCATGTGAGTATGACTCACATGTACGCCTAATGGAGGACGTCACGACGACAGGGCAGAAGCTGCACAAATTTGTTGTAGTTTGTTGCATTTCATGCTGCAGAAAACTTTGTTGCACTGTTGCACTGTTGCGGTACATTTTGTGTTGTTATAACATTGTTCCATTTTCACTGCAGTCATTATGTCAGAGTTGTATCGTATGCATTGTAACACTGGTTGTACCGTGGATCATTCACGTCCTTTGTCATGGGCGGATTTAGGGTATTTACATTGTTACATCGTGTACAGCATTAAGTGCACACGCAGTCGCACCGTGTGTTGCCGCCACAACAGTTCTCAATGCTGCAGCTAGCACGTCATTTGTACCGTACTCGTGATCAATGCACAAACAAAAAGCTGGCCAAATTACACGGTCTCGAACCGTGTAAAAATTGTGTAGAAAAGGCGTCAAAAAGTGTAAAATCATTTGCACTCACTCAATTGTTACTACGCGGTTTGCTCCCCCATTTTTATACGATAAATACACGGTTTAACAGGATTTCTGCACGATTTTCAATTGTGCTACGAGGTACACCCAAAACCGTACATTTTGACCTGCTTTTTACTAGTGTACGGTGTTTTGTGGTCAACATCGAGTCATGCTGTTTAGTGGAGGTTGTTCTCGCTTTGAAATGTTGAGCGGCCACAGCATTCAGCACGCGCAGTGCTTTGTGTGCAGCCCTGCTTCAGTACTTTATCGAGGCAAAAGGCAGCAAACAAGGGTGCAGTTTGCGTGGCGATGCTGCGTCCTTGCCAGAAGGACAACGGGTCAGAAGCGCAGGCGATAGCTGCTGTACTGGAAGCAGAAAGTACTTTGTGTAGTGGTGAGTTATAAGGCGACTTAATGACACTATTAATAAAGCTCCTCTCGCTTCGCTCGCTCACAATTACATCAATGAACATGCATAAGAATGGAATAGCACGGGACAGAATTTCACATGTCACCATCAAGAATCGTTACTCATCGAGTTTTCTCCACGTGTAGTTTGGCTATTTCAAATGGCCTGTGATTGACGTGGCACTGACCTGCATGGAGTGCGAGGTGCCAGGTCGGCTAATGCTGCCCCTCACGCCTCCCTCGACGAGCTTCATTAACAGGCGACCAACATCAGAAAAGCAAGCATTTTCAAATTGGGCTCCACACCATTTGCGGACATGCGACATACGTTTATCGTCATCATCAAGAAATGTCACTTGACAACGCAAGGACGTGGCCATCAGGTTCCTTCTTTGCCCGAGCAAATCGGTGTCCAGGGACTACGGGATCAATACCGACCCCACCAGCTTTCAGGAAGCTGTTTGTGGCGCAGACACGATTCTCTGTGTCTGGCGCCACAGACCACAGCCAAATTCTCAAAATGGGTGGGATAGTGCATTTGCTCAATGACTAAAAGACATTTTTCTTCCACTGTCCTGCACATGTTGTAGTCTGAGGTCACAAGCTCAGGCGCCCCGAGGCAAAGGAGTGGTGGCGGTGAAGAGTGTTGCATGTATGCCCAAATACCCAAGAATGTATTCTTGACATGATTCAGCCACAAACTGGGGATGTGTGCAGCCCAGCACAGTGGCCTGTCTTTCGCTTGTTTATGGCGATGCAAAGCACAGCATACCGTGCTCTGATGGCAATAGACAGCCATCCCCGCTTGGATGGCAGTGCCTTCCACATTGTGGTGGCTGTTTCCAACAGGTTGATGACAGCTGCAGCAGAAGGTGGCCGCAGATGGAAATACACTACTGAGCATGGATTGTCTGTGGCAACAATGTTTGAAAGGACAACTAGTTGAAGATGATGTGGTGATGGCTCCATCACCACAGTACTCCAAGACAGCATGTGGAGTGAGAAACCAGTTTGATACTCAGCAGTATGTCAGCTATTACTGCGGAGTGCCGCATTCCCATGAGTGCAGAATTGACAGTGTTGTCAATTCAATTTTCTGCTGTACTCATGGTGCCCCAGAAATGTTGTGCTTGGGGAACAGTCAATTTGGGGGGAATGCTTCGGGTACCAGTTGACACAAGGTAACATGGGCATCCACACAAATACAGTTGTTCTGAGGAGACCGAAACTGGTGAAGGCCCCAACGCGTTTCGTTTGGTGATTATCTCTTGTTCCCTGGTGAATCCAAAACATTGCATCACCTTCAAGAGCCCATCAGGTCCCTTGAAGTTGCAGAATGGCAACCTGACACGAAGTCTTCAGCTGCGATATCTGGTTCTACCATAACGATGCAGTGGTGGTTTGCTGTGCATTTGTGCTCTGCCTGTGCAGCTGTGCCATGGATAACTCATGAGGTACCCAGCACCAACCACCCAGTTCTTTCGCCATTTTCCAAAGGTTGAGCGTGGAACCCAACTGTGCGTTGGGCGTCGGAGGGTTTGGCGGTTCTGACTTAGATAGAAACATCGCCTGGGGCAGATTCACAAAGCTACTGCGGACCAATCATTGTCTTCAACTAGCTTCGAGTTGAATGATGGCGAAGGTGACGCCGCAGAGATCCCCGGCACCGAGAGCCAGGACTCGATTCGACCGTGCGCAGATCTCCGCGCCCCAGACATGGCGCCTGCAAGTGCTTACAGTGGGCTCCGCCTCGTAGACCTTCCGGCGCATGTTTTGGTACTCAGCCTGCACGCACCAAGCAGCGATCGTCTCATGGATCCGAGGGCTATGAAGGAGTGAGCGAAATTGGAAGCCGCTGCTCGAATGCAATTAAAGAAGCCAAAGAGCTCTCTCAGGCCACCGATTCGCCCAAATTGCGCACAGGACGTCATTTTGACGGTGGTTCCGCCAGCTGGACAGCGCGATGGTCACTGTGGGCTGCTTGCTGCGAGCGAACTCCGGGGGCACCTGAATGACGTGCGCACCACCCAGGCACCTCTCGTCGGGGACGAATCGCCTCTGCCGGCCGCCCTGCGGCATTGGGAGGGTTGGGAGGCGCAGAGGCCGGGGATGCTGCCAGGGAAGCGCGGCGGGGGATGATGATGGCGGTGGACGGGGCGGGGCGGGGTGGGGGGTGGGTCGCCGCGCCAAGGTGACGCGGAGCGTGGGGCTTTGGCGGGGGAAGCAGGAGGGGAGGGACGACTCTTTGCCTTTGGGGCGTGGCGCTGCCGAGTTTCTGTCGTGCGAGATGGACGGCGGCTCGGAAGTTTGTCGGCATTCTTGGAAGAGTTCAACGTCGTGCTAATCGCGCTGACACAATATAAACCACTGCAACTGTATGGAATTCCCGGATCGGCAGATGTTTGTTGTCAGCGCAGCATTCAGGACGCAAAGCTCGAGTCTCCCCACCTTTTCCCAGTGTCAATCCTTTGCCTTGATTGGATGTTCGGGCGGTGCTTCAAGGCAGTACTTTGAAAGTCCAGGCAGCGCTTGGCTGGTTTGCTGCGGCACGCGTTAACCCGTCCTGATATAAAAATATCCGGCACACAAGCCCAGAAGCACACAAAGAATGAGGAGTGGCGAATGAGTGACGAATGAGTGACGAATCGAGTGACGAATGACAAGTGACGCTGAAGAAGGTAAGCAGGGGTGAGGGGTGGCGCCCCCCGACTGGGGACCGTATGCTCGAGCACACGGCAACGGTTTACAGCGGAGCAAAGGGACGACTGGAAGTCTGTCCCTCATATCTGGTCCGTTCGTCAATGCCCTTGCTTCACTTCCTATTGTCTCATCACCTCAATGTGTTCAGCTGTCGATAATACTCGATCGGTTCTGGTTACAACAACGCAGTACTTGAACATGAGTGCTGATGAAGGATGGCAGGGTCGAGGGGCGGCACCCCCTGAGAGGGGCCCGTAGGCCGGAGTACACGGCAATGGACTACAGCGGAGCGGAGCGTCTCTTGGGGCTGAACCTCCTAAACACGAGGTCATGCCCTGATGTCTTTGACTACAAGATTTAGGCATGGATAGAAAATTGCAATATTTCAGCAACCATTTGCCTGGTAGCAGTTTATCCACTGTCCACGTGGCAAGTCCCAAAGAAGACGAACACACATCCTGGCCAAATTTTCCGACTGCATTTGTAATATGTGTGGGCCCAGGATCCGTCGAGAATCTCTCGTATGGTGATGTCGAAACGCAAAACAACCAAAAAAAAAGGTGCCGTGCGGCAGGCAAGCTCGTCTTCAGCGACTGCCAGTTTCGCTGGCATCCATGGGCCAAAGATCGTGACAAGTTCAGAATTCTACATTCTCCGCGTTCAAGTCAAGCTCGTGCTATGAGACCGCAGGGAAGGCCCCACTCAGACACAGGCACTAAAACTCGGCGAGAAGAACATCCTCATGAGAGGCACAGGCCACAAATCACCTCATCAGGATGGTGAACTTAACTTTCATCTACTTCTCATTCACGCCCGTGTCCTCAATCCCTGCAATTCACCACCCAGCAACCACGGCAGCTGGAGCCCTTGCCCCGCCGTATCCAGGCCACATCCCCCAAGATCAGTTGGGCAGATTCTGGTCGACTTCTATGACCATAAGCTGAGCAAATCCGCCCCCTTGAACTTGAAAAGTCGGCCGAACCCAGCCTGCAAGATTCTCATTGACTACAATGACCATAAGATGAGCAAATCTGTCCCCCTTTCACCTGATAGATGATGCCAGCCAATCCACTGTGCATGCGCGGCAATGCGCCAGACTGCCAATACCGAGCGTGGCCATTGAAGAGAGTGGGCTTGCCGGCAGGATCCATGCTCCTAACAGGCTCCGCCAGGGCCTAATTCTTGTCCTTCACGGGCTCTGGCTTGAACCGGAACAGCTCGATTTCCTGCTGTTTGAAGTACCGCCGGTCCTCATCGTCCACGAGCACGAGATTGAGGAAGTACTTGACGCTGAACTTGTTGTGCACGTTCTCGTAGGTGGGGGTGAGGTCGTATGGCGTCAGGTACATCCTGGGATCGAGGCATACGCTGGACGTGAGTTCTGGCAGCACATTGGAGTCACAAAAGCATGGCTCACATACTCTTCCTCTGTCCGGAATTAATTGTCCTCTGTGATTTTCGCACACTACTCCTCCATGATAGAAGTTTCGGTTTTCAATGAAACTTCTGTCAAAGCTGAGGCTACGAGTTGGGAGTATACGGTCAAAAAGTCAAAGTCAATCCGTTAAGAATTGCGATTTGGGATCAATTTGCAACAAGGGTCTTCCACCTAGTAAAGGTCGAAAATTTTCGCACAAAAATGGCCAAAATTTACATTTCGTCCACTCTCAAAGGTGTCGGGTGTCACTACTTCGTGAAGATTGATAATCAAGGATTTTGATTTTGAACTCTTTGTGTGGTTTTGAGGTCGTTTTGGTAATGAAATTTGCCTTTCAAATAGAGGTCAATTAGTTTCGGACAGAGGAAGTAGCTGCCAACATGACATGCAAATGCAATGCCGCAAGCGTAATGGCAGTCTGCAGCAATTATAGTGGATACACCCTTTCCTGTGCGAACTGTTACAATACAGCACACAAATTCCCTCACACAGAAGAACCACCCGTTCATGACAACAAGTCCATGTTCACTTTTCTCTGCTCCACTTCCTTCCTGCTACTGCACCACCACAGACAAGCAAAACACCCACAAATGCTTCACCTCAGGTGAATCACCTGCATTTCACAGAGAATCCTAGCCTCACCTTATGGGGACGGTTTCGCCCCTCACCGGCGCCCCATCCATGATCTCATACTTCCCAATGATCTCTGTCTCGTTCTTTGGAGTGGAGCCCACACGCGTGGTCTCCCTGCGTCGTATCTCAATCTCCATGTACTTGAGCTTGATGCGCACCAGCAGGAAGTAGATCTTGCCTGTCACCACGTCCTTGAGATTGTACCAGCCCTTGCTGTACTCGAATTCGATGTGCAGGCACTCTTCGATGCCAACCTCCATCTGGACCAACAGCAAAAGGAACGGAAGCTGAAAAAACCTGAGCAGGGCAAGTTTTCCAAATCGACAGTAGGCCGGCACCCATTCAGACCAAGGCATTTGTCGAAGTGATCTATTACAGTATTTCGCTGCAGTACCTCTGCACAGTGAGCCCATGCTCGAGGTCAACGTCCAGGCACGTCTAGGTGTTGACCACCACCTGGAAATGACGAATGAACCGACTTTGCCAACGCATCACATGCATCCACGCTTTTCCGGGATGGCATTGTTGCTCAGGACAAGCACGAGCCCACAAAAGCAATGTACTGGCAGTGCAAATATCTAATTGAACACAATCAGTGTCAACTAATGCAAATGCAACTGCAAAGTTTGAAAATGCTATGTACAGTATCAAAACAAAGAATCAAAGAACTTGCACCAAATTAAGCAGAGAAGAGCACATAATTCCGCAATGTTTGGTGGATGCACATGTGCCCACAATCGCCATCATCTGTCATGGGGTCATGTCATACACATGTGAAGTGGAAAGTAAGCTGTTTGGCCATCGTTTCTGTGTCATGGCAGATAAGCAAACTCATACAATATGAATGGCGAGGTGCCCATCGTCAACTTGGTGCAAGGACACCAATGCAAAGAGCATACGCACTTTGTCATGCCAAAAGGTTCAAAATACTGCCACACAGATTTGCTCCAGGTCCCAAGGACGTGGTCTACCATGAGAGCCCAGTTGCAATCCACAGGCAATTCACTGTCCGCTTAGCCAAGCTCCTCAAACTACAAATGGGTCGGCATTCACAATAGAGCTCAAGAACGGATTTCTGGATTCTGTCCATTCAGGGCTTTACGAGCAGCAGAGCAGAGTGAAAGCGAGCATGCACGTTTCAACACTGCTTAACAGGCGAATGAATGGATGAATGGCAGTACACACCTTCACAGTTGCATCCTCCACACGTGGCACTTCATTGTAGTTGCGCACCCAGAACTGGAAGTCCTTTACATTGCTTTGGTTCATGCCCTTGCCCACGACTGTCACCCTCAACAAGTACCTGCACGCCAGATTACTTAATTGTGAGGTGATGTACCACTGCAACACACAAAAAGTCACTTCCTGTCTTACTGGACAAATGTGTGGAAGATGTGCATATTGGCGGACCATTTCATGTGGTCAAAATGATGGTAAACAGGGAACAGGCAGTGTCACGCTCACATGGCACCAGGTACAAGTTTGGATATTTTTTTCCTTGTTCCCTGCACCTGTGGAGCTATTGCAGTGGGAGGAAGGATATAAAATACCATTCATCTCCCAAAGGAAGCTGATTTGTGCGAGGACACAGCAGCTGGCTGTCACCAAGATGTGCGCTGCCTATCTCGCAAACAGTTGGCAACCAACCCTGCCAACTTTCAGCTGCCCCGAAATGGCCTCTTTGCTCACAAAGGCTTGCATGTGTCAAAACTACATGGCTTGTGTACTCTCTTTCGATGCCACAGCCAGATGCAAACATTATTCTGAGCTGCATATGAGGTTTTCTGCCTCACGGGGCGCAATGACCCATGCTGCTGATGCGGCAATTTAAGGAAGTCGATTGACCAGCATGGTTTGCACAGCCTTTAGAGCTCCATTGTCCTTGCCTGCAGCGTGCTTGCTTGCCCTTGTACGACTCATACTGCATTTCAACATTGCTGAACTCGAAGGGGAACGTCTCGATCGTCATCATGTCGCCAGGGGGCGCCAACTCCCGAGCTGAAGGCACACACAGAATGTGATGAAGATCGTCGAACTCCGGATTCAATTGCATAAATACTTGCTCAATGTGCCCAAATACGATGCATAGATATATGATATTCAGTAACAAACACATAATAAGCGTACAAGATAAGGATGTCAGTGTGAAATATGTTACAAATCAATGGCCCCTTGCACAAGCTAAATGACATCTGGCTGACTCAGCAACAAAGTGTTCATTATAACACCCCCAACTTTGTCACCTCAAAATTGGGATCACCTTGCTGTGCGCCTTTCAAGTCGTACCAGAATAGCCAGGTAATTGAGTTGCAAAACAGTTCAGCAAAACAGTACAGGCAGTTTCCATTTGGGCCCAACCAGTTCTTTTCAACATTTGCGCTTCCATCAACAGTTCAGGTATCACCCCTAGCCCCAAAACCTGAAGCTATGTGGCTACAGTCATCTCACAAGACTGCACCGGAACGTGTTGCTAGGCCCCAAAATGGGATTGATCAGGTTGTGGTGCGCGATCAGTCTTGGCTAGGAGCACAATGGACAAGGCACACATCATGCCCAAGCACTCCATGCTGGCAGCATGACAAAGGGGTATGATGAGACAGGTTGAGTTGCAATATTTTGCCAATCATTGTCAGATTCTTGTAAACTGCTACATCAACTGATGTTGTCCTATAATTTGGAGTCAGCACGGATGTGTGCCACCACTTGTGTGCACTTTCCACACTGCCGTTATGGATAAATTCACCCACACAGGCAACAATGCACAATCCGCTTTGATGGTTTGTCCTTGGACAACGTCTGACAGGGCACTGCCCTTGACTTGCATCACTCACGCCTTGCAGCTGTCTTGGCGTTTTATGTTGCTGCAGAGTACATGTAGTGATTGTCAGGTCAGTTCATGCACATGGGGATGACAGCCTTGTGTGGCAAGCTAATGGAAGTAGTTTCTGCACATTTTGCAGGCATGGGCATGACTCACCTAAAGACAGAAAATCGTAGTAATGACCACGATCAGAGGCCAGTTCTATCTGCCCAATCAACTGGACCCTCACGCCTGTGTGCTCCAGTTTCTTTCCTGGCACAGGTGACAACCGCACCTATGAAAACAACCCAAACGGGGTGTCAGCTGTCAACTCAAACACAAGTGACAAACACATTGGCAGCTGGCAATTTGAGAACACTGTGAAGAAGCCCAACAGCAACGTGCCAACCATGCCTTTGGGCATGAATGCTTGCCATCCCAGACATTGGGTCTCACTTTAATTCAATGCGAATTCCCAAAGGTGAACGATCGACTGACAATCCTGCATCCAGCTCATTCTCTTAGATGGAAGTGCAAGACCAAACACTGCCAAAGAACAACAACATATCTTTGACTGTCCTCCAATTGTAAAATTACATTGATTCCCCACTTATTCTCCTGCCTTTGGTGTTCAAGCGCAGCTGGTTGCAGGAAGGCAGAAAATACAATCAGGACAGCACTGCTTTCTCTTGTTTGGTTCCAGTTGTATGATTGCTTGGGGCTGAGATTTCACACCATACTGAATCTTGCTGAAGCTGGCGCTGGTCACCTTGACCAGTGCCACAAAAAGGAACAAATAATGGAAGGCTACAGCGGTCACAGGCCCAGACCAGATAGTTCAGCCCTTGAGTTTCAGCCGCTTTCCCACAGAAGCACAGTTCAAGGGCAGCACCTGGCTGTCCCCACCCTGGAAGCCACAAGGACTGCTCTGTCATACTCTGGAAAATGCAGCCAAGCACTTGACAGAACTGACATTCTTATGTTCCATGTGGAGCAACACAAATCATGCATTGTGTCATCGACTCACCAGTGCAACTAACAGCAAAATTGTGTGAAAGCATGTCTCAGGAATGGCCCCTCAATGTTTTGAGCCCACAAGATCCAGGAAAGACACTGAAAGAAATGCGGCCAAGAGAAACGACGAACACGAAGGACGAGGATGGGGATGGTAGGAAATGCATGAATGTGTCCTGGCAGACAGCATGAAAAACACTGCTCACTGCGCGTGCCACTGCCACTAAACAAGGGCATGCATTAATCATGTGTGTGTTGTTGTTTTTGCCATTGATCACTAGGTGCATTGGGTGCAACCAACTGGTGTGGGGTTGTATGGTAGTATTGGTAACAGACAAGCTTGTGATGGATACTGCTGAACACCTAATTTGAAGGTGCCACCTTCAAGGTGCAATGCCTTCATTTGCCAAGTCTTCTTGTCGAATGCCATCAGTGGAATCCACAGGGATCCTCCCAAAAATGTTGAGAGTGAACAGGCAGGGTGCATGCTTCAACATCCAAGTGTTCTCTCCATCTCTTAAGTAGTCAGCGAACCTTCCGCCTCAAGAACAAACAACAGAACTTACAGGGATTTTCAGCAGGAGACAAGGGGGTGAACATTTCTAATACCTCTCCAACGATGCTGTCCTTTGTAGTGTACAGTGGCAGCTCTTCATTCTTGGGTGCGTCGGGGGTGCCCGTCTTCACTGTGGCTCTCCTTATGGGCTGGTCATTCTTGCCTTTGAAGATCAAGTCCACATTGCACTGGTGCTGCCCCACCAGTCCCAGCAGCCCTTTCTGTCAGAACAAACACACCATCATCGCTGAAGTCAATCAGAACAAGATACCAATCAAGGCAAAGATGCTTGAACAGGGTGCCTCTTTGCAGACAGTGTGGTAGAATACAGTGGTGGCGCCAAGTCTCCGCATTGAGGCAATTGTGCAAAGGCAAGGCTGGCCATCAGCTCCACCATCACCCCAGCAAGGCGATCCAATGCCCACAGCCATTCCCGAAACGGACAGGGAGAATGGAAAAAAGAGTGGGGCAAAAGTAAAAAGAAAAATTCCCCGAAGATGAGGAATGGCATGGAACAAAAAGCAGAAGCAGAAAAACTCAGGTAGAGAACAAAAGCAAAAGCGCAACAAGAAAGGTTAGGAGTGGGGAAATTCCTATGTTGGTGTGCTGTTTCAAGAATTAGAACATCAAGCGCTGAAAGTTGGGTCAGATCATAGAGACGGTGAGATCTGGCGAGAAATATCTGTCTCAGGAGCCAGGCTATCTTGGGACAGGCAGTGACAGCCAATCAATACCACCTCCCTGAAAAAATCACAGAACAAATACCACAGGGGGGTGGGTGGGTGAGGGTGAGGGGGGTGGTTGATCTGGAGACAAGTCTCCATCTGGCTGAATCGCCCACGGGCGTTTCAGTCATCGACAAGTCGTGGAATTTCGCCCAGTTCTTAAAAAATCTCGAACGGACATCTCCGGGAAGGTGGGGAAATGGCGCTGGATGGCTGGTCGCCGGCCCTTCGACAGGCAGGGGGACAAGGCGCCGATTCAGTCCAGGGGAACGCGCGCTGCGGAGGACTCCGGACTGTCTTTTCGGCTGCAAGGAAACACGTCGCACGATGGGCGCCCCGCTCCTGAGTTTGGAACTCCCCGACACGCCTTCCCAGGCATCCCAGTGAAACGGGGAGCGGCGCCCAAAATCATGGCAACGGGCGGCATGCCAGGCCCTGGGGTGGGGATTGGGACCTTGTGGATCTTGTCCGCAGATCCCCCCTCACTAATGGCAGAATACAGGCCCCAAAAACAATTTTCCACGGGGCGATCGGTGCCTCTTGGCGCAAGGGGTGCCCCGCGAAAGGCCCATTTGCCATTCCAATTGCTGCGAATTTCAAAAACATCCAGATGGGGCCCTTGATCCGCTTCCCGCTGGACACCCCTCCCTCCTGCGCACCATGCTCAGGGCCTTGCCGATTCCCGCCATCGCGCTCCGGCCCCCACCAGCCCACCGGCGGGTGCGGCCTTCCAAATCCTTCGCCTAGGGATCCTGGGCGTTGCGGGCCGCGCGGCCGGACTGCGATGGCGATCTGGCACCTGCGACAGTCGGCGAACGCCGGGAGGGTTCAGAGGCGCCGGGCGGGGCTCCCGTTGGAGCTGCACCCTGGTCACGGAGTTGGGACTCGGGCCCACGACACCGCTCGCCCTTGTGCCGTCCGCGCTGCCGCATCATGCCCAAATTGCGCCTTCAATTGAAATTGAATTCCGAACATTTCTGTTTAATTTTCAGCACTCTCGGTTTTGTTCCACACTCTCAATTTTCGTTTGACGACTGACGAGCAATTTTGTTTGGCGCGCTGCGCTGCAAAGATTGCTAATCTAGCAATCTTGTGCTCCCGCTGCGAATTTCGAAATTTGTTCAGCACTGCTGACAAAATTCGACATTTAGAGCGAGAGCAAGAAACACGTTGCGCAGATCGCCTTCTCGTAAGGCTGGGTTTGTGGTACTGTTAAATGCTCAAGCCTTTCGCATCAGAAATTTTTAACGTTATGCTTTTTGCTCCGCATTTTGATTTCAGAGCGTAGTTTTAATTTTTTTGTACGTTGCTCTTCCCAAAAAGGCCAAGATTTGTGTTGCTATTTATATTGTTTTCTCCGCAAAAAGGGTCAAGCGTTACGTTACTATGCGGGAGGGTTTAATATTTTATGGTACACACTGCGCAGGTGGATTGCGTGCAGAGTGAGGTGCTACACTTGGCCTGCGTTTGCTTGGTGCAATGGTGTTGTGCCGTTGCATCAACTCCGTATTGCATTGTTGGCGGGATCAGCTTCCGACTGGTTGAGTGCATGAAGATGTACATGGCTTTCGCGCAGCCAAAGCCATTTTCTGGCAGACTTGCAGCACCAGTGATATTGGGGACGTGATATTCGGATTGTGTATGACAAGGTGGTATTGCCTGTGGCCGAATCTCACCTGCAAAGATAGTTTCAACTCCACAGAGATACCTCCTTGGCCCGGCCAGTTAGGCACGTGGGCAATAGAATTGTTAGATGCAGCGGCCCTGTGTTTCTGGCAGGCCAGGACGCGCGCCTACGCTGAGAACAGCCGCATTTGCACCCGGTGCATGGGCCGTATTTTAATGGCCCTCTCGCCAGTGCCGTGACTACAGCTTCGCTCTAAATTCCCCAAACTCCCATTTGTTTGCCAATTCTCAGTTTCGAACATCGGAATTGAGAGCTCCCGTGATGCGCCAGTGAGCTTTAGTGTTAACTTCACCTAGAAGAGGTAGTGCTGCAATTTGGAGGGCCATGTATGTACATGACCCGCACAAATCCTTTGATTACATTTGTCACATAACCATGACAAAACACTGCCCTTGCACGTTAGAGGCGATTTACCTGACCCGCATGTGCGTGGGTTTCTAGCAGAAACCTGATGGACAGTTTCAGCAGCGCGATTCAAATGTCCGAGGCTCCACGTGATTGATTTTTGGCTTGAAAGTGTAGGAACCAAGTTTCGAGGTTCTCGAACGCGCTTCGGCACAAGTCCTACGCCATAGCTCGATGCTCTGCGAGAGCATGGGTGTTTGCGCATCACCACAATCTGCCAGCACAGAGGCAATGGCAACTAGCTCGCAGCACAGCGAGTTGTGCCGGGCTCACTACGTACACGGCACAATTGCGCACATCAGGATTTTGCAAGCGTGCTTGCGACTTTCAGACGACTTTTTGTGCATGTTGTTTGGGAAAGATTCAACCTCCACCGTCGGGCGCAGATTTAGGTACAATGGTCCTCGATGAGGCCAAGCCATTCGCGCTGACAGCACAGTTGCGCAAAGTCGATGTTGGTGCTGAATTGGCGTTCTAATGTTGTGAAGGCAATGCCCAACACGTTTTCTCAAGCGATAGTATCCAGCCTCCGGACACAACACGCTGCCGGCGGCCACGCATATGGTGCCAGGCAAACTTCCAAAAGTCAATAGTACATCCAGTAGGCGGATGCAGCATTGCACCACTTCAGCACGTGCAATGCTGGCGCAGACAGCCTACATCAGCAGTAATAAAGGAAACGTGTCTCTTCTGGACGAGTGGGGAGCTGACATGCTTCATTCTATTTCTGCCAGAGCCATTCTAGCATCTGAAGCGTACAGGATGCAAACTGTGGACAATCGCTGGTGGTCATGCTTGGGCCTGGCCAAAACCGCCGAGGCTCCTCGCATTCAGTGACGCCAATTAGCTCGTACGCTAACCCCTGCATGCAGCAACGCAAGGTCCCTGGGCAGGCAAAACACACACACACACAAACACACACATAGCAAAGCCCCCCAAATGCTGAGTTCGACAAGAATTAGATGAATGCAGTGGCCACTTGCGGGTCAAGGCTGCACAGTCCGCCACCATGTCAATGGCCTTGCTCCAAGGGCATCCCTCCCCTTTATTGTCATGGGACAGTCACTCTACCCTGTTTGGTTGTTCCGATGGTGTGGCAAGGCTCAACTGGAGCAAATGGTAAACTGAAAGGGCACTAACAGGAAGACCCCCGCACACTCTTCCAGGGGGAAAACAAGTGATCTCCACGCAGTCAGCTGGACCGCGCTGCAGCCTTTGGCCTTCTGTGCAGCCTCCAACCGCTCGCCTACGATTCACAGCCGCCCCACAACTGAACTAGTTTCAAAGCACGGACTACTGGAAACAGATATCTTCCCAATTCCCCCACAATGCTGCACATCTAGCGCTCATCCCCCCCAGCCTGAAGCTCAGTCACTGAAGTCTGAGGACTCATCAGAGCCCGTCTTTTCAAACGTGAAACCTTTTCTGACAGCAGGCTTGGCGTCCCGAGAGCCTGCCCCAAGGGGTGCAGCCACTGACTCCTGAAACACGACCTCCGAGCGGGCCAATCGATCGGCCAGGACCTGTGTGGGAAAGGAGTCCGTGCCGCCTAGTTCATCAAACCCTACGACGTAGTCTACGGTCTTGCCATTCTTGATGAGGGCAAGGGTGGGCAGCATCCAGATCTTCAACTTGTCCGTGAGGTAGGGACTCTTCTCAGCATTTATCTGTGGGCAACGTCACATCAACATGTCACAGAAGGTCCCCGTGCCACTAGTACACCCCTTTGGAGGCGTCGCTCAAACATGGAGAAACTTGCAATGCAATGGGTACCCACTCATCCGCATAAGGCTGTTTAGACTCTGTTCCATACTGTGCAAGACACAGTAAAATCGCAGATGGTGGGGTGAGAACACAAAACACAATGCAACATGCACAGCAACAAGACATATACTCGCGGCATGCCCCTCCTCAGGGGTTTCATTTCATGCTCTTTTTCATGCCCCTTGAGGAACAGCGCCACAGGATCAACACACGCAGGCCTCTGAAGTGTGATAGTAGTCGAATTTTGGGCATGCATCGCATCTGATGGTGCTACAATTGCAACAATAATGTTCAGCAAAGCTGCCACTTTTGGGGCCCCTCAATTGTTTGTCACAGAGGTGTGGGTGTTCAGCAAATATTTTCTATTTGCATTCCTGCGAATGACAAACACTTTGATGTGTGGAAACACGCAAAACTTGACAGGGACTGGACTAATGGCACTATTGAAGATGCCATAAACCCAGTGTACTCTACATTGCTTCAAAGCAAGATGTTCTGTATTGTTGCTTCTCAGGGAAGGCTTGAGGAGAAAACCGCACCTTGATGAATTTGGTCTCGATGTGTTTCTGAGCCAGTTCTGTCAGATGCCTATCCATCACCTATTGCATCAGCACGAATTGCTTGGATTCTTTTGATAGCCAGGACTCAATTAAGCAGTTCGAGACGACATGCAGTACACACACACACTGCCATTGCTTCAACATACAGTTGCCAAGGCATAAAAATTTGTCAACGCTGTATCAATGGCCATCAGTGGAATAACACACTGCAAGGAGCCAGGCCTGATGGTCACCACCAACATGCAAGGAAACAAATATCCTCAAAGACAGCACCATGCCCAAAGTGGCAAGCCTTGGCCATTGGCCATCAGGCATACATCCATCGACAAAGAGGTGTTGTGCCCATGAGACCATTCCTTGGCTCTTCTGAATACATGAGGGAAACACACAAGGGTAGATTGTGGAGATAACCTTGTCAAGCGCAAAGCGTTAGCGAGTGCCTTCACAATACGCACAACCACCAGGTGCTAATCTGTCTTGCACTTCCTTTTGATGATTCGCACTTCCTTAAAGTGATACTTGACTTGGAAGGAAAGCCAAATGTCAATTCAGCAGTCTTGTAACACATCAGATAAAAGGGCTCAAAACCTTCAGCTTCAGCAGGAACTGACACCTGAAGCGCGCCTTGCACCTCTACCTGCCACTTTCAGATGCGGCAGCATTCTCTTGTGATTGCAGCTGCCCCTTTTGGGCAAAGCATTTGTCATTCACCATTTGGGGGATGTTGGGCTTATGACATTGGCTCATAATGACTCTACACTCTGACAATACAGAAAGAGTGCTGTAGTGCCAATTACCCAACATTCCTGCCCTTCACCCAAGCAGCAAACTATCTAAAATCAAAGCACTTGTCATGTGCACAAAAGATCATTTAAACCTCATGTGGGCTTCCCTCCCAAGTGCCTTTTTTCTTGCAGCACATGCTGCCCTCTGGTGCATGTTATTCCTACAGTGGGAACTGTTCATCTTTGTGTCGAAAGGCAGTCTTCACATGATCTTACACACAAGCCCTGCCCATTCAAACCCTGGCAAGCAACAGATATCACATTGCGTCTCCGTCAAAAGCAAGGCTTCGTTCTGTGCACACAACTGCTCATTGGGCCACCAGCATCATCAAGGTGGAGTACGAGAACCAAACATCCCCCTTGGCGCTCTAACAACCACCATCTCTTTCTTTTGAAATAGGCCTCCAACATGCTTCACCTCGCTGGCCATCAACAGCCCGCTAAACCTTCGCGCTAAACCTTCGCGTTGTCTGCTCGCATACACTCCAATCCATGACACAATCAAGACCCCGCTTCCACACCCATCAACTCGATAATCAACCAGCAACGAGCGACGCCCCCTTTCCTCCCCGTTCGCTCATCCCCCGCTGTCACACGGATGCCTGCACCATTCTCAAAACTGGCAACACTGGTTTGGAAGCGCACTGCCCACACTGCGCCCCAGTCGTTGCAGTGTTCTTGCACCAACTTTCAAGCAGATTCCGTCTGAACAACCCACTTCAGAAGCCACAGGCGCCATCACTGGCACGTCAATCCCCCTTCACTCACAAGCACACGTCCACCCAACCCCCCGAACCCCTGAATGCACGTTTTCTTCCTTTCCTGTGCGCCTGCATTGTGCACTCCCTTTTTTCACTGCAGACCCACGTCGTCCTTTTCCACCACGCAACAGAATCTCACACACACCTGCCCAGGAGGCACGCCCCCCTTGTATGACTGGTAGCTTTTCAAACAGCAACAAATCCCACCCATTCAAAATTTTGCCCATAGAACTGGTTGTAACAGATCCCAACCACCCGCCTAGCATTGCGACTTCTGCCTGTACAAGTGGCTGCAGCAACCACCTGTGTTCCTTGATGCTGTGGGGTGGGGTTTGTTGCCAACTATTTGAGGTCATTGCTGACCGACAGCAGAGGGGGACGCTGTTTGACTATCTGAGTTCAGCAGAGACACGTAACGCGGCCAGCGCGTCGAATTTTCACGTTTCCCGTAAAGATTTTCACTCGCCCACTCAGCCACCCACCCACCTGGCAGGGCGAGTTCTGCCTGTAGAAGTGGCACACCGCCCGCTCCTCCCCCTTCACCTCCCTGAAAAACTCCTTCTCGTCGTGCACCTCCCGGTACTCGCCGTGCCCCGCCGCTGCCCACGCCTGCCGGCGCGCCGCCATGCGCTTGGCCTCCGCCAGGCGACGCTCGCGCAGCAGCTCAAGGTCGTCCCCGTCCAGGTTGTCCAGCCGCCGGATCTCCTCGTCCACCCGATCCTCCACCGTCCTGGCCACGGCCAGCACCGCCTGGTCCACCGCCTGCTGCAGGCCGGCCATGGCTGGGAGACGGGGGCGGGGGGGCCGGCTGGCTTCGCAGGGGTGCGCGGGGGGTGGGCCGAGTTTCCCGCCTTTGCGCCAAGCCTTGGCGCGCCCGTGGCATCATGGGTGCATTTATCGTAAATGATACAGCGAATGATGTGTGAATGGACATCCTTGCATGCAACATGAAAAATCGACACACTGGTCATGTGGCGTGTCTCTGGTGAACACAGATGACCAAATGGCGTCCCTCTGCTAGCTGTCTATAATGGCCTCACAATGATTGGAATAGAGTGTACATAGGTCCACAAAGAGCACCACAAATACGATGTGGTGCTGGTGACTTGTCCCTAAACATCCCTGACATACTCAATCTTCAAGGAAATCCTTAGAATGTGCCAACTTCACCCATTGAGCCTACCCGCCTTGCCTGTAATGGCATTTAAATCCCATTTTTTAGCCCATCAAATTTTGCACAACTTCAATTTTTTTTTCTTCTCCAAGACAACTAGAAACTGTGTTCGGAATATTTAGCAACATGACCTAACAATGGATTCCATTGTCAAGTAACGTTGCGGATTCATCCTGACTTCGACATAAGGATTGACGCTAAGAAAGGGTTGGGTTGGGTTGGGATGGGGTGGGGTGGGTGGGGGGTGGGGGGTCTCAACTTATCGCCAAATTGGCACTAAGCATATTAAAATCAACATAGCGCCTTCCCTACTTACTAAAAAATCCACATGAGCTTGGAAAATACCCATAACGCTGCTGAAAAGTGGCAAGAATCCCATTGCTTGTCCCCAAACCTTCTTTTTGCCGCTCAATCTTCACAAAAAGTTCCATAAAATATCATGTGTTGGTCTTCAAAAGTGCCCCCATCTTCTCCCATGGCTTTTGGCATCTCAATTTGTAGCCCACTGCAGTCACTGTAGTTTTGATTATCTTTTGTGGAAAGAACGTGGTGAATTTGTACAACATCATTACATAATGTTGTTAAGTCATCCTGGCTTCAACACAAGGATTGGCAGGAGGGGGTGGGTGGGTGGGCAATGAGCTTAACGTCAAATTGATGCTAAGCGTACTAAAATCGACACAGAGTCTTCCTTAAGGCGGGCCGACTTTTGGGTGTTAAGGAGACAAAAAGAACAATTAAAATCATCCATTTGTATTAATCGGCAATACTATTACTATTAGCACTAGAAAGGTTGGATGCCTCCCTGCACCATTGCCGACAATACGGGACGTCCCGCATGCGCAAGAAACCCTATGGCTCCGCATCAATTAAATAATAATAGTTGAATTGGAAAAATATTAATAAATAATGCAGTACATTAATGTAGATACTATCATATATGCATGTGCTTCGGGTATGTTTCGTGAAACCGGTTCAGAAATTCGAGTCAATGAATTCGCCAGCGCCGTTTGTCGATGTTATTAGTCCTATTGATTGAAAGATCCAGAAGATGGCCAAAAAGAGAATGGGCGTAGCTAGGCGGTTGCGAGTACCAATGGCCCAATACTTTTCACACCTATGAATTGTCTGTGAGGTGTCACACAGGATCAATCAAATGAAGACACGAGAGCTATCCTGCATGCAAGGCAAGAGGGTATTGCGCGTCTGATACATGGATAGCGATCGCACATGGGCGTCGTAATGCGTGGATGGAAGCTGTGAAATTTCGTATTTGTATTGAAATACAACTGGAATCGCGCCAAGATATTCCGCCAATCTGAGATAGGAATCATGTATGTTGAACAGCTGTGTCAATGTTGGGATACAGAGACATTGCGCAACGAGTATTGAAACTGGGGCCAGAGATAAAAGCAATGCTGGATCATTAAGAACGGGGACTTTGGTTGCTTCGATACGGGCTCCGATATATCAGTACGTATGGATTTGTGCAGGCTTGCTATTTACGCCATAAACACAGATTGTATTTACGTTTCACGCGTAAGATTAGTTTCTATACTCTTATGCATAAAAACGCGTAAAAATAAGTTGGTACAACGTAGAAAACAGCCAGGTGTACATAAGGATAGTACAAGCAGCCTTCGGGACTGCCCGGAATGATATCCAGACGCATTGGAATGGACAGAAAACGAATTTTGTTCCACTCCATCGTGGCCCTTGCCGAGTGGGAAGTGTTTGCTGTGTTGCGGGTGCTCAAGGGAGCGGAGTACTGATCACTGCACGCAAATTCCGTCATGTACCCTGGGTGTCAGAACAAGCCGTAAAAACGTACAAACAGCAGTAAAAATAGCCTCTTTTTGCAAATATGCGTTTTTGCGTGTAAAAACGTAAACGTAAGAACCTAAACGTGAACGTAAATAACAAGCCTGGATTTGTGGAAGCATACATATTATTGCCATTGCACCTCCAAACATTAGTTGCATACAAATGGTACGTACCATTTCCTGTAGATAATATTTCCAGGTAGCGTGGCTTTGCGCAGTAGCAGATCGATCCTGATTGCCCCAAAGGAAATATGACATAAATTGATGAAATTGGAATGTGATTAGAGCGCTGGAATGCAACGAATAATGAAGGAGTGAATCTGGCCCATGAGTCCGAAGCAAACTCCCCCTGTGAAATCAGGTCCAGAGACACAGCTTAACATTATGCATATAACTGTTCGTTTCTCGTATCGTTCCACAGTGGCATACAATGCGTTCACGAGCTCCAAATATTGATTGGCTCTCCGTAGAATTATGTACAGATCATCGTCACGATACGTCAACGAGGTGGAAGGGTAATGGGCAGTGCGGCGACTACCAGATGCGGATCTTGCGTGGATCCCCACCGGAACCCTTCGCTTGCAACAAAACATTGAAAATACCAGAACACTACTTTCTGAGAACACAAAGGTGTAGCCCAAAGAGCGGAGGTGCTTAATTCTGGTTCAGCTTCCGGCTGACCCCTTCTATACCTATTGTCAATGCTCATTCCCATCCCCGCACCCAACAAGCCCTAAGTCGTCCACACCTTCCGCCCCATTATAAAATTCAGCATCCCTCACGCATTCCGCAATCTACATACACGGGCGAAAGCTGCCGCTGTGGTGGGCGACGGACTCACACCCAATGGTGTTAGAGTGCCGCCATGTGAATGTGGAACCCTTGCTGAAAACACGCTTTGTTTCCGGACTATTTCTGTGGTACACCAAACGGCAGTGATAACTCCGAAATGCAGCAGCATTCTACTGGTCGTGCTCGCCCGTCGCATCATCAACAATAGCACAATTGTAAAACCATTGTCCAGCTTTGATTGCCACCATGAATCGCGTTGCAGAAAACGGCCTGCACCCAGTCTCGAGTGTCCTTCTGCTTCCTTGGCCCCCGCAACCATCGATTCCCTACTGATGAACGACTTCCCCACCCTCCCTCAGGGGCGAAATATTCCCGTACGTGTGAAGGCCACACGTGCGGCTGTCAGTCCCTAGATAAGCGCCCCTTGGATATTCGCATCCCATGAAAAGCTCACATCCGCTGAGGTATTGGTCTCCCCTTGGACGCTCTGAAACCTTCATCGCTGTGCGGCACACGAAGTGCAGTTGGTACTACCTTGTAAAATGGCAAATTCCCGAATCGTTGCGTCAAGTGGTAGATGGCGAGATGCAATGCTGTGATCGGGCACCCATGTTCAACACACAAAACACACCCGTGCAAATATGCTACATATGCTGTATATGACATGTATGTATATGTGCTATATATGCTTTTTTCATTCCAAATGCATTGTATTATGATACAAACAGAGGATCTCCCGCACAAAATGGGAAGCACAACAGGACCCTTTCCCAGCAAGAACTAACTCAGGGTACCAAAAGGCAAGAGAGGGAGAAAAACATCAGCGTCCTATTGACGTTCGATGTCCCAGCTTGGAAGCCCTAAGCATCAATAGCTATATATGCTATATATCCCATGTGTGATTTTTTTGGAATTCCAATGTACTACATGTTGATCTAAGCAAGGATCTCCCACGCAAAAAACGTAAAGCACAATGAGATCCTTTTCCAGCAGGAGCCGATGCGCATCGACGATGAGCATCCTGCATGCAGGATCACAAACAAGGAGATAGAAAAGAGAGTATCAGTGTTAGCTCAGTGTTCAATATCCATGCGGGGGAGTCTTAGTCATCAGAGAAATTGTCGGAATGGAGCGAAACAATTCGTCAAGATGCTATGTGTGTTGTACATGCTATATATGCTATGTATGCGATGTAAAAGCATAGAGGCATTGAGTGTTTCTCCAACCCCCTCGCATCCCAATTGGCCGCCTTCCGGGCAACCAAGCATTGCGTAATCCTTGAACGTCTGCAAACGGCCGCCGCGCTTCATGCCAAATTTGACTTCGATGTTCTGGTATCGTATCTCATGGTTATCAGTACTGGCGAATCCTGCCATGGTCTACAGCTGGCCGGCGGTGCCAGGGAGCCGCGGCTCACGCCCCAATGCGCTTTGAATTTGCCACATGGCACGTCCCGGCGCGCATGCTTACGGTTTTCACCTTTAGTCGCTCTTTCCTTTGGCACTGAATTCTGTTGCCTGGATCGTTTCCTGTCCAGCCCCTTTCTTTTGGGCCGGCTTTCGCTTTTTTCTGCTGCCATGGTCGGCACCGGGTGGCAGTGGCTGCCCTTGTACGACACCTGCCACACGTCGTGGTCGTCCGGTAACCTTTCGACCTGGCGTTTGGCGGAGCAGCCTGGATGGGTGCAACCGTAGTAGGACCTCTTGTTGGGGCTCGCCTTTATGGTTTTCTCGCCGTATTTTCGCCATCTACGACACTCGATGTGGCATTACCGGATAGATGTGGCTACAGGATTCGACGCGATCCCTGCTTTTTAATAAAAGGTTGTTCAAGTATGAATGAGCCTGCTCAGTATTTAAACGTTCCTCTGTCTTAAAAAGTACCAAATGAACATTTATTTTTAAAATGAGTGTTTATTTGGCAACAGAGACAGATTTTCAATCCTCACAATCGGTATTCCTGCACAAACGACCTTGCATCATTTAATGATG